AGACAGAGTCAACGAAGAAGTAAAGGCGTAGCAATCGTCGTAAAGAACGGTTTGCATTTTTCAGTAAAAAACGGATAATAGCAACGGGTTCCCAAAGCCTCGATGTCTTAACTGTCTACCGACCTCCAAGGAACGATTCTGAAGCTAATGTCCTATTGCTGGATGGGTTTAAAGCCTTTGCTGCACGATCAAATTCTCTTATCGTTAGGGGCTTCAATGCGCCTACCATCTACTGGAGTTTCACCTCAGCCGATTGCTCTGAATTGGAATTCAACCACCAGCCCCTGCATCTAACTGAATCCCTGCTTCTCACCCAGAACGTCACATTTCCCAAAAGAATTCTTGAGGGCCAGCAGATGAACTGCCTCAACCTTGTGCTCACTAAGTCACCTTACAATATTGACATTGTGAATTTGAGTTGACCCAATTGTGAAAAAAACTCGAGGCGTTCGGCGGGCCAACTCAAATTAAGAAAATCTGCCAACCTCCTAATAACATTGTGAATTACTTATCCCCAGAGTGACCATGCATTTCCCATGTGGCAGTACACTATGCACTTTTCTTTGCCTGCCTAACCGCAAGACCTACAACCAAATATTTGGCGTGGCGATTTCGAGCTGTTAAAACACGATCTCTGTTTCACCGACTGGGCATCCACACTCTCCGACAAGGTTGAGGAAACTTGGGAACAATTCAGAGAGATAGTCCACAACCTCATCATTAACCACTGCCTAATCATGCGCAGAAAACTAACGCATAGACCTCGCTGGTTGACTCCATCTTTAACAAGAAGAGGAAACTGTGGAAAAGGTCCCATATTGATAGGACGCTTGAATCTCTCAATAGTTACAGGATGCAGAGGAACCGGGTCGAACTTCTCATTGTCAGAGACCGACAGATGTTCGAACAAGATCTGTTAAACCGTGCCATGGTTAATCCCAAAATACTTTTTAGTTATGTAAGTCTGGGCACGCGGAACAATGATCCTAACCCCCCCTCCATTGCGAACGTTCGAAGGTGCAAAAAACTTAGGAGACAAGGATAAGGCTGATCACCTCTCTCAGTTCTTCCGGTCCGGTTTTTTATCCCACACTTATGAAGGCGATTCGATTTCCTTTATTTATACAGTCTTCTTCACCAAAGATTAATAAAGAAGTGAGCTTATAAATTTGAAAGACTAGACATCCCTAGACTCCGATGCAATCCCGGCCAAGCTGTTAAAGGAGCTAGCTTCTGAAATGGCCAAACCGCTAGCCTCAATCTTCCAGGCGTCAGTTGTTACTTGGTGCCTACCATCTGATTGGAAGACAGCAACGATCCCTCCGATTTTCAGGCGTGGAAGCCGAGCGTCCGCAAA